TTGGCTCCTATATATTCTACGAAGATCTTTATCGGTCAAACCGCATAACAACATACATTGTTCCCTTTGTCATCGGTATGTTACTTGCCCGAGATTTGATCGTCAGTACATCATACCTAGTTCAATCTCGTTACCGGCAAGTCTATTTATTCGTTCTGTAATACTTCATCTCGCAACTAACTCATTAGTTACAATGCTTGCAAGGCTTATAGTGATGAGTATTACCGAGAGGGCCTAGAGATACCTCTCCGAAACACGGAGTGACAAATCCTAATCTCGATCTATGCCAACTCAACAAACATCTTCGGAGACACCTATAGAGCACCTTTATAATCACCCATTTATGTTGTAACGTTTGGTAGCACACAAAGTGTTCCTCCAGTATTCGGGAGTTGCATAATCTCATAGTTTGAGGAACATGTATAAGTCATGAAGAAAGCAGTAGCAATGAAACTATAACGATCATAATGCTAAGCTAATGGATGGGTCATATCCATCACATCATTCTCCTAATGATGTGATCCCATTCATCAAATGACAACACATGTCTATGGTTAGGAAACATAACCATCTTTGATTAACGAGCTAGTCAAGTAGAGGCATACTAGGGACAATATGTTTTGTCTATGTATTCACACATGTACTAAGTTTCTGGTTAATACAATTCTAGCATGAATAATAAACATTTATCATGAAATAACGATAAATAATAACTTTATTATTGCCTCTAGGGCATATTTACTTCACTGTCTAGCACAAATTCTATCTTCAGTCTTTTTAAAACGGAAAACCTAGAGAGAGAAATCAGCGATAATATTCCTTAGCATTACTCGGGGTGGGTGATCTTCGTTTCTGAACACGACGGCATTTCTCGAGTCCCAGAGCTTCCAGGCAATGGTCAAGGCCACCAATGACCAGATGTTGGGGTTAAAGCCCTAAACTGCCGGGTGTTGGTGTAGAGGAGTGAGGGAAGTCAGGGCAGGCAGCCCCAGGAGAGACCACACTTGTGTAACATAGGAGCAGTTGGAGATGAGGTGAAGGGCATCCTCACATGGGTCTTGGCATCTTGGGCAGGACACAGATTGAGCAATATGTTTGTGAAGCATATTGGCGTTCGTGTTTAGCTAGTCACGGAGTAGAAGCCAGACGAAAATCTTGACTTTGGTCGTGACTTTGGAAGACCAGACAAAATCATGGTGTGGGTCGACTATTTCCTATGCAACAATGGAGTTGTATGCATTCTTGGCTGAGAAAGGAAGCCCATGTGTGAGGGACCGCTCATCCGGTCGGTCCACGTTTTGGAAATCCTGCAACAACAACAAAACACAGTCCAACTCTCGAGCAGCAGCATTAGTAAGACGGTTCCGCAGGTTCGATAATAAGCTATTTTGCCAAATTGTAGCCACTAGCACCTTGTCATCTATGGAGTGTGAGTATAGGTGTGGGAAGACTTTGTGGAGAGGGGAGTTGAGTAGCCATTTATCTAGCCAAAAAGAAGTGGAGAGGCCATTGTAGGTGATCACAAATGAGTGCTCAATAAGAAGTGGTAGGTTTTTGTTTACTACTTTCCAGAGAAAGGAAGGCCTGGAAGTTTTGGCAGCAATGCCAAGTGGATACCTTTGATTGTACCAATGTATCCAAGGGATGTCCGAGTTTTGCAGGATTTTAAAGGAAAATTTCATGAGCAGGCAATGGTTATGAACTTTGAGATTTTTAATGCCTAGACCACCAAGTTCTTTTGGTTTGTAAACATTTTTCCACGCGACTAGACAACTCGCACTCGTTGGACCAGAAGAAGGCTCTCCTAATGGCGTCAAGCTTAACCAGGACAGACTTTGGAAGGCGTAAAATGGACATGAAATAGACTGCTAGGGAGTCGAGGACCGTGGTCAACAAAGTTAACCTGACGCCACGGGAGAGTAGACGAGCGACCCACCTGAACAGAAATCTTCGGAAGCTGTCGACGATAGGATCGAAGGCTGACAGGGGTACTTTGGTGGGGGAGAGTGGGAGGCCTAGGTAAATTAACAGAAAGGAGGAGAAGTTACACCCTAGAGCGGCCGCAATGTCGTTTTGCGTGCAATCGTCCGTGGCAATTGTGAGCAGGACTGTTTTTTGGAAATTAATAACTAAGTCAGTCGCAAGGGCGGAATCATCAAGAGTTTTCTTGAGAGTTGCGGTTGTGGCGACGTTAGCAGCGGCAACGATTAGTGTGTCGTCGGCATATTGGAGGGTCACCAGAGGCTCATTAGATTTGAGAGGATGGCATAGTTCGTTTGGCCCGAAGGCCTGGGAGATCAACCTTTGTAGAACGTCAGCTACAATGATGAACAAGTATGGCGAGAAAGGGTCTCCTTGGCGCAGGCCATTTCTACATTGGATCCAAGACCCCGGGGTGCCATTAAGGAGAATCGCCGTTTTGCCTGTGTGCAGAATGTTGTTAACCCATGCATAGAAAATGAGAGGGAAACCCCTCACCTGCAAGATAGATATGAGAGAGGACCAACAGATCGAGTCAAATGCTTTGCTGAAATCAAGTTTGAAAAACATGATTGGGGCTTTCCGAGTGTGGCAAGCGCTAAGGATATCCGCAGCATAAACAAAATTTTTGGCTATGTTGCGGCCGTGTAGGAAACCAGTTTGGTCATAGTGAATGAGTAGTGGGATGAGTGGTTTTACTCGATTGGTGAGAACCTTGGCCACAGCCTTTGGAGTGCAGTTTATGATGTTTGCTCGGTGAGAACATTTTCGTTTATGATGTTTGCTCAGAACTAGTCAGTCAAACTTATCTTTAAAAAGAGTCAAACTTACATCTGTTGTCATCGAGACAGTTGCGCATGAACTAATCAGTTCAGACATGCCCTTGCCTGCTTTACATGTGTACGGTACTATGCAAACTTGCAAAACCACGCAAATTTCAGAAGACAGAACACAAAAAAGAAGCCCGCAAAGAAAACTAGACTCTCCCGTCCATTCCATCAAAAAGACCCGACCACATCCCTTTGACCTGCGGCAGCTGCGCCACGAACGCTTGCCATGGCGGGTAGCCCACGCCGCTGCCCCGGACGCGCCCGTCCATCCTCAGCGACAGGTACCTGCGCACAATGATCCGTCGGCGAGAAAGAACAATTCGATTACGAGAATTCAACCACCCGAACAGCTGAAAGCTTCAGCGAAATGTTCAGACGAATTAATCTGCAGTGCTACTCACACAGGGGAATCAGGCGTGACATTCGCCATCTTCTTCTGCTCAGCCAACCACCTGCAACGAGTACCAGCAGCAATCAGCACGATGTGATTCGCCATTGCCAATTCTCCGTGTGCGAGCAAGAGAGTAAGTGATTTAGCTCGGCCAGAGCGGCTTCGTACTTTGCCCACTCGGAGGTGTACACCGGCGTGAGCTGCCAGAGCCTCCTGCTCTTCCCGGCGACCTCCTCGTCCTCCGCCTCCGCCTCCCCGTCGCCCTCCTCACCGAACTCCAGCGCCGGCGCGTTGCCGTCCGTGGGGAAGGGCAGCACCAGCACGCCCCTCTCCATGAGGTCCCTGAGGAACGGCCTGCTCCGGCGGAACGACTCGGCGACGAACTCGGCGGGGCCGGCAACGATGACGAGCCGCGCGCTGCCCCGCAGCTCGCTCAGCGGCACCACCCGGCCGCCGTCGCCGACGCGGAGCTTGAGCCTGGACAGGTTCTCCTCCCGCGTCAGCCTGGCCACCTGCGCGTCGCTGGCCTTGCGGTCGCGCGAGTAGAGGAACGCGAAGACGGCCACCGCCGCCACGTCGATGCCCAGGCCCTTGAGCGTCTCCGCGACGCCCGCCGCCCTCGCGGGGTTCCCCAGCGCCGGGAGGAGCTGCGTGAGCGCGATGAGGCTACCGAGGCCCGCGCTGGCCATGAAGGCGAGGTAGAAGAACATGCGCACCGACCGGAAGGGCGACAGCACCTCGCTCCTTATCTTGGCCATGGAGCTGCTGCTGCCGCCGCTGCAAGAATCGAACGACGCGATCAACGACGGGCCCAGAGGCGAGCCAAATACAGACAGGAAGAAAGACGACGGGGTGGCTACCTTACCTCGTTGCCCGGGGCGGCGGAAGGGGGAGGGGAGGGCTTGTTCGCCGCGGAGCACCGGGCGCCGCGGCGTGCTATGCCGCTGGAGGATAAGGAGAAAGAGGCCGACGGCTTCCCAGAGATCGGCGGCAGCAAGAGGAGCGGGGCGGGCAGGGAGACGGTGGCGGGAGAGGAGGGGATCGGCCGCGGGGCCATCGTGATGGAGGTTCGTGCAGCAGACCGGAGCCTCTGGCTGCGACGGAGGGTAGGATTTCCCTTTCTTTCTCCTCTGCTGTTTTAACCGCCACTCGATTTGTGGCGGCAATCGCAACAGCAAGGCGGGAAGGGAAGCGAAGGAGAGGCCCACGCTTGGCCTTGTAGGCAGGCTGCCGCCACTTCGCTCGAGTTTGCCTGGCTTTCCGAATGCCAAGTTGCTGTGTATATTCTCTAGAAAGAACAAGTTGGTGTGTATTTTGGCAGTACCAGTGTCCAGATAAATTCCAAAATGCTTACTGCCATTTGAGCTCCTGAGGCAGAACAAATATCCCAGATGGTATTGGCAAGACTGCAGCAGGGTTACACTGTCAGCAAATGTAAAGCTGATGCATTGTGCAAACTGGGCGTCAGCCTTTTGCTCAGTCCAGGAAAAAACTGCTGCATTGATCTGTATTCAGATTGCTAGCACAGAGGAATTGGCAAGAACAAGGCTTCAATAAAAGAGTATGGTTAAGCTGTGCCAGAACTTGGAAGACAATGCGGATGTGTAGCACGCAAGCTGAAGAAGTTCCACACATTTGTGTTATTTGAGTTCCCGAGACCGAACAAAGCATCCAGATGAAACTAAAAAGGACACTCCTGCACAAATAGTATGGTTACAATGTCTCAAAGCTGCAAGCTTAACTCAGTAAGCTGCAGGCAACACAAGCTGATGTTCGCTCTGAATTCGGAGTCACCGAGACTACGCCGTATTGTAGGAGAACTTGAGCCTCTTTAACTGCTCCTCCAGCAACGGGTGGCACTTCTCGAAGGACAATGTCCTCAGGGAGACCGGCAAGCCCGTATGTGGCAATGACTGGATCTTCGGACAGTTGAATATCCGCAGGAACTGGAGAGTCGACAAAGTGCACAGCTCTTCAGGGAGTGCAACAAGATTCCCACAGTCCTGAAACAACAGCTCTTGCACCGACGGGAAACACCAACACAACTTCTTGTTGCGAGGGCCATGAACAACCGCGGAGTCGGTGGACTGGTACAGGACAACGATCTTAAGAGCAGGTAATGTGCTTCTCATCATCAGGCTAAGGAGAGAGGTGCTACTGATGGTCAGGCACTCGAGCTTCTGCATCCCCCGGCCTTCGCCGACGTCGAGAAACATCGAGGGATCAAGGTCTGTCAACCTAGGGCAGTTCACAATGTGCAGGTTGATGAGTGACGAAAGGTGGTGCAATCCACCCAAGGATTGCAGGCTGCTGCAGTTATCGACATACATCCCTCGGAGTGATCGCAGCTGCGAAACTATTTCTGCTGGAAGGGACAGTAAGTTAGGACAGTTGTATATAACCAAGGTTACGAGTGAAGACAGGTTGTGCAAGCAGGATGGAAGTGACGCATCAACATGGCCGCATGACCTCATAAGCAACTCCTCCATCGATGGCGGCAGGGTCAGTTTCCTTGTGGGTGGAAGCTCTGGACAATTTTGAATTTCCAATACGCGAAGAGAAGCAAAGCCCCGAAATCTTTCCACAGGGAGCAATGCTAGTTTTGAGCAGTTCATAACAGTTATTTCCGCGATTCCCTGCAAGCTCTGTGCCTGTAGACACTCATCGAGACTCCTCAGGTTTCTGCATCGTATGATGTGCAACCTCCTGAGGGAAGAAGGGAGGCTGGTGATTTCAGTTAGGAAATGACAGTTGGAGAGACTGAGCTCACACAAACAGCAAAGGTTTCCAGCCTGCAACCAAGATGGTGTTTGGATGCCACTGTAGTGCTTCAATTTCAAACTCTCAAGGTTGGGATGGGGCTCAAATGATTCAACAATAATGCTTTCTTGTGAATACTTGGCATTGCTGAATTCCGCATTACCAGCTTCGCTTGAAGACCATTCCAGAATCAACCGTTGTATGTGCGCTTTTGTGTTCATCTTGGCTTTTAAGGCATCATCCTTCACAACATTCTCAAGATTCGTAACATGTAAAGTTTCGGTCAGCTGTGTCATGTCCTTCAGTTCGGCGATTCTGTGCCCTTGTCCTTTCGGAATTTCAAATACCAACGAGTTCTCGAGTGATGTCAAAGCGCTTATATTGCTCATCACCGAAGTAATCGGTTCATTCATGTAACATTTCCTCAGATTGACTAATCTAGTCAAACCGTTGGGATGGTTCTTCAGAGGGACGTTCAGTACATTCAGAATTTGCAAATTGCTTAGCTGGCAGATGGAGTCAGGCAACCATTGGATCTTTGTGTAAGAGATATCGATATACCGGAGAAGTTTTAGATTGCCAATATTCCTAGGGAGCTCTTTGATCGCACACTCCCGTAGCACCAGCACGCGGATATTACTCAGTTTATCAAACAAAATATCAAGTGAGCAACTCAAATCTTGCCCAGACATACCGAGAATCAAAAGTGACCGCAGCTTTGGGTATCTACCCAGTTCAAGAAACTTGCCCAGTTCAAGATGTTTGGTGCACACTGACAGATGGCGAACAGTGGAAGGGATTTTCAGAAGGCATCTTTCATCAGTCAGACAAAAACATTCATCTATAGAGAGTGACTGTGCGAGATCAGACATCAGGTCATGCATGACGAAACATGAGTCACTGAATATGTGTTGCTGAAAAAAGGACTTGTTGAGCAATTCTTTCAAGCATTTGTTCCCAAAGTCGCCTTGAGGAGAGATGAAGCCTTCTGCAATCCACATGTCAATCAGAGTCTCCTTCCCGAAGATATACCCCTTTGGAAATATCGCACAGAATGCAAAGCATTGCTTGAGGTATGCAGGGAGGTACTGGTAACTCAGTCGAAGAGCCGGGAGAATGCCTCCTGCACCTTGATCAAGCTCCCACAACCCACTTGCCATGACTATGCTCCAATGCTTTGTGCTCATGTCAGAGCTCAGTGCCCCACCGACAGTCTTGGCAGCAAGAGGGGAGCCCTTGAGCCTATGGGCAATCTTCTTGCCAATGGCCACCAATTCAGGATGGTCTGCAGGGTCCTCATCGCCGAATGCATACTGCTTGAACAGCTCCCAGTAAGCCTCCTCCGGTAACCCATTCAGACATAACAGTTCCGCCGCTCCGGCGGCATCAGCAACCTTGCAAGAGCGACCGGTCACCAAGATGGCACTTCCAGGATGCCCAAACTTCAGTGGCGCGATGAGCGTCTGAAACTCCACACTGTCCTCACACCAGGCATTGTCAAGGACAAGAAGGAACCTATTGGACCTGACCAAATCCCTGAGAACCACCTGAAGTGAGTCCAAATTGCCAAGGCCAGTTTGCGCCACCGCCCCGTTGGTCGCCGACTCTATGATCGCTTTGGTCACCAGCGTCACGTCCGGCGATTCCGGCAGGCAAACCCACATCCGCAGGTCGAAGTGGTCCTGCACCCTCTGGTCGTTGTACACAACCTGCGCCAGAGTGGTCTTCCCTACGCCGCCCATGCCAAGGATCGCCAGCACGGCCACGCCGTCACGGCTCTTCCGTCGCTTCGCGCTGCCGCCGCCATCGCCGGAATCGTGGGCATGGAGCGGATTCAGAAGCAGACGGACCACATCCTCGCGCTCCCGGTCTCTGCCGAGAACCAGGGGCCTCCCGGCGAACGAGCTCGTCTCCCGGAACGCGCGCCGCGGCGTCGCCTTGCCGGCCGCGTCCAGCACGGCGAGGGCCCGCTCCAGGTCGGTGGACGCGTACTCGAGCCGAGACCTGACGCCTCTGGCTCTATCCGCCGCGCCGGTGACCAATCCGCGCAGGAAACTGCGCGCGGATGGGAAGAGGCTCTGGCTCGCCTGCTTCTCGTCCGTGGCAAGCTCGTCCGCGAGGTCCTCGGCGTCGCAGGCGGCGTCCTTGAGCCGCGCGAGGAGATCGGCGACACCGGGGTTGGCGAACCGCCACTGCTCCGCTTGCTCGACGAGCGCCTGCACGCGGGACAGCACGGAACGCAGCCTGTCCACTTCGTCGCCGAGGCCTGCGTGGGCGCCCCACGCGCCGGCGGTGGCCGACAAGCCGGTGCTCAGGAGCCAATCCATGGAGGCGGTAGTTCCGTAGTTGGGTTTGCACGAGTGGATGGACCGAGGCAAAAAGAGGTGGAAATGGGTGAAGATTTTTTCTAGGTAATGGGTAATGTGGTTCGGCGATTATGTGCCCTTGTCCTTTCGAAATTTTGACTTAGGTGAAAGCTAATGTAGTTGTGTACGTCACTAAACCAAAATGAGATTGGGTGTGGCTAACAAGTCTATGTCAAGTGACATAGTAACATGTAACAAAGAAAAAATAAAAACTAAAACAAATAATTTGCACGAATCTTCACGTAAGATCTCACAAAAATAGCGTCGACTGAGACTTACTCGATTGAGATTTAGCAATCCAGAATGAGATTTCATGAACCCACCCACGATGAAACTTGTATTTCACTTGGTATTCCCTTAGTTTTTCTTTACTCCATGTATTAGCTTTAACCTAAGTCAAAATTTCTAACGTTTGATCAAGTTTATAATCTTTCCGTTCATAAATATAAGTTGTTGGGGAGCGTAAACTCAACTCCCCCGACATATTTAAGAACAGAGGAAGTAGAAAACAATCCAAATTTTCACAGTAATAAATATACCCCCTCTGCAAACTAATATAGAATCGTTTAGATATATTACTCCCTCCGTTCCTAAATATTTGTCTGTTTAGAGATTTCCTAAGGACTACCACATACAGATGTATATAGACATATTTTAGAGTGTAGATTCACTCATTTTGCTCCGCATGTAGTCACTTGTTGAAATCTCTGGAAAGACAAATATTTAGAAACGGAGGTAGTAGTTTATAGAGGGAGTACATCATATGAAAATATATTCAATGATGATTCTAATGTGTGACGTCCCCGATTCAATCGTACACTAATCATACATGCAAACGTGTACTCAAGATTAGGGACTCACGGAAGTTATCATAACACAACTCTAAACACAAATTAAGTCATACAAGCTTCATACTACGAGCCAGGGGCTTCGAGGGCTCGAATACAACGCTCGATCATAAACGAGTCAGCGGAAGCAACAATACCTGAGTACAGACACACGTTAAACAAGGTGCCATAAGATGGCTAGCACAAACGAGGATACATATCGAGGAGGCGCAGGCCTCCTACCTGGGATCCTCCTAACTACTCCTGGTCGTCGGCGGCCTGCATGTAGTAGTAGGCACCCTCGGTGTAGTAGGAGTCGTCGACGGTGGCGTCTGACTCCTGGGCTCCAACATCTGATCGCATCAACCGGGTATCGGGGAAAAGGGGGAAGCAAAGCAATCGTGGGTACTCATCCAAAGCACTCACAAGACTGACATCAGATGTATACTACATATGCGTCGGTATAATTGAAAGGGGTAGTATCTATGGACTGAACTGCAGAATGTTAGAATAAGAGGGGGAGAAGCTAGTCCTATCGATTACTATGCTTCTGGCAGCCTCCATCTTGAAGCATATAGAAGAGAGTAGCAAGTACAATAACAAGTATCACATATAGCATAATCCTACCCAACTATCCTATCCTCGACACCCTGCGAGAGAGCGATCACCGGGTTGTCTCTCAAACTTATGTGGGTGTGTTTTATTAAATATCCGGTTCTAGTTGTCATGAGGTCGGAATACAACTCCAAGCGTCCTGTTACCATGGACACGGCTATTCGAATAGATCAATCTTCCCTGCAGGGGTGCACCACATTACCCGACACGCTCGATCACTCTGGCCGCACACACTTTCCTGTGTCATGTCTGGCCTCGGAAGATCAACACTTCGCAGCCCTACCTAAGCCCAACAGAGAGGTCAGCACGCCGGTCTACATCCTAAGCGCACAGTGGTCTTGGGCCCATCGCCCTTTGCACTCCTGCACATTGCGTGGGCGGTCGGGATCAGTCCTGGCAACCTGCACTACAAGGCAGTTACTTTACGCGGACCACCCGGGCGCGCACTGCTCAGTCGCTGACATCTGAAAAGCTTCGGCTGATACTACGACACCGGTTGCCCATATCTTGTCCCACGTGGCGGTTAGTGCGTATATGGCCAACGACCAACTCAGATCAAATATCCAAACTCGTTAGGCGAATTATTTTGAAGTAACCGCGGGCGCCGACCAGGGACCAGGCCACCTCTCTCCTGGGTGGTCTCAACCTGCCTTGTCGCTCCGCCACAAAGTAACACTCGGGGGCCGTCAAGAACCCAGGCCCACCACTACCTGGGTGGAACCACCTGCCCCTTCAGCCCCCACATCTCTGAACAGTAACATAAATATGTAATAGTATATAGTATATACCCGTGACCACCTCCTAAAGTGATCGCAACCCGATAGTATAGCATGGCAGACGGACAAGTATGTAGGGCCATTGATGGAAATCTAGCATCCTATACTAAGCATTTAGGATTGCACGTAAAGGTATCAACGGTAGTAACAAAGACAGACTATGCAGCAGAATAGGATCATCTGAAAGCAGTAACAGCTACACTACTCTAATGCAAGCAGTAGAGAGAAGGAATGTGCAGTATCGGGATGATCAAGGAGGTTTTGCTTGCCTGGAAACTCTGCTGAGAAGGAGGGGTCGTCAACACCATAGTCAATCGGGGCAGCAGCGACCCCAGTCTCGAAGTCTACGGGAGAGAAGAGGGGGAAGATACAAGGAATACAATGCAAACAGATGCATGACATGTCAATAAGCGGTGCTAGGTATGCCCTGACGCGGTACTAGGTGCTACTGGCGAAGGGGGAAAACATTGGGAAAAGTATTCTCGGAGTTTAATATTTTCGGACAGGTGAAACGGAGGGGAACGGTTCCATGTTCGCCATGCTAGGGACATGTAGCAGATGAATGGAGTGCGTATTCAGATTCATCACGTTCTTTTGAGCAACTTTCATGTACAAAGTATTTTCATCCGAGATACAGATTATTTTATATTATTTTTCAAAGTTTTAATAATATTATGGAATTACGAGATTCAAATTAATTAAAAAATACAATTACTGTGCCAGCATCATCATGATGTCAGTAGATCAATAGGTTGATTAAGTCAACCCTGGCATGTGGGGCCCGTTTGTCATTGTCACAATTTAACTAAACAAAATTAACTTAGGTTAAGTTAATTATTCTAAACTAATTAAGTTAATTTATTTTCCATTCTTTTTAATCCTTTTTTGTTTTTCCTTTTCATTTCAATAAAAGGGGCGTGGGCCCCCTGCCAGTGGTCCATTTGGCCATTGGATGGGGCGCCGGGCTAATGGGCAAACGGCGCGGCCATGGGCTCCCGATGGGGCGAGCATGGGCGTTGGGCTAATGGGCAAACCAACGCGACCACGGGCTCCTGATGGGGCGAGCTCGGGCGCTGGCCGTGGCGAGCCAGGGTGGGGTGAGGCTGTGGCGATGCACGGGCGGGCACCGGAGGGGGCCGCCGGTGGCCAGGGCAACGGCGGGCATGGTGGCCGAGGCGAGGTGAGCGGCAGGGAAAGTGGGGGTCGTGCGGCACGCGTGCGGCGAGGGGCAACAGAGGGGGCGAGCGTGCGCAGGCCGGTGAGCAGGGGCCACGGGGCGTGTGGACGGCGCGGGATGGCGCATGGCGACGTGGCCGTGGGTGCGTAGGAGCGCGGTGACGCGGCCAGGCGGGCGGCACGACACAGGAGCACGCGGGGCGGAGGTAGGCGGGCGCGTGTGGCGCTCACGTGGCTCAGATCTGCGTTGGTATTTCCCCAAAGAGGAAGGGATGATGCAACATAACTACTCCACGTATTTTCCTCAGTTATGAAACCAAGGTTATCAATCCAGTAAGAGAACCAAGCAACACTATGTAAACGGTATCTGCACACAAAGAACAATACTTGCAACCCAACGCATAAGAGGGGTTGTCAATGCCTCTGTGGTAAAAAGATAGATTAAATTGTATGAGATTGGATAAATAGATGTGAATGAAACACAAAAAAAATTAAGTAAACACTACTAGGGAAACCTTATACACAGCATCTTAGCAGTAGCGCTGGACAAAAATGGGCGCTACTGCTACTTAGTAGTAGCGTGTTTAAATAAACCGCGCTACTACTACTATTTTAGCAGTAGCGCGTGCTATGATAACGCGCTGCTGCTGTGTTTGTACTGCGCGGAGATGGCTAGCCCCACTTAGCAGTAGCGCGTATTACTAGCTAGCGCTACTGCTACATCCCATAGCAGTAGCGCGTGCTAGGAAAACACGCTACTACTTACTTACCTTATCCTACACACGCCCGACCCTAGCTCTCACTCACTCTCCCTCTCACTCTCACTCTCGCCCGTGCCGGTTCCGTTGTCCGCCGCCTTCGCGTTTCTCCTCTCCGCCGAGGTACTCCCTCCGTCCCGCCTCCTTCCTCCTCCCCTCCCTCCGGCCGCCCTCCTCCCACCGCCCCTCCC